AAAAGGTAAAAGTTATCTCATATTATATAATTAAAAAAATAGCGGATATTATGAGATTTGTAAAAAATCATAATCCATAGAAGAACCATCTTGAGCCATTCTTAAGAAGAATTTGCATAAAATTGAAAAAATATACTAAAAATAGTATGGATTTGCTTAGATTCTGTGTAGTATAGTTGTAATTTTTAATTTTAATTTTAGTTTTTATAAATTTTATAGTTATTGAAAACAAAAACTAAAAGCCTAAAATTAAAAATTTTGTTTAAAATGAATTCAACACTCGCAAGTAAAAATATAAGTTGGTTTAATAATATTAAAATTCTTTTTAATTGTATTTCTCTAATTTTTTTTTTTTTTGAAAAGAAATATAGTTGTATTAATGCACTCCCCCATGTGGTCCAAGTGACTACGTTCCTCCGTGTGAGAAATAAAGTAGAGCGCAGCATATGATTATCAAGTCAACTCCTTAATCGGTACTCGAACAAATATTAATTTACTAATCATATTTTTTATAGTAAAAAAAAAGTATAGTTGTATTAATAATTGAAAAAAAATTACAATGCAAACTATACCTTGCCATATATATAGGCTAATCTGAAAAAAGAAAAATTAGGAAGGACCAATGACACTAACATATAGAACTAAATGTTCTATACAAATAAAACAATTAGGAAGTGGGAATCTTTACATATCAGTATATGTCAAAGGGATATAATAGAGCTATGCAATGACATAAAAAGAATGCATTGGAACCTTCTGACACTACTGACAATCACATCTATTGTACCACTCGACCTAGCATAGGAGATCAGTGGACTTGACGATGTAGTGTCTCTCGACACTATAATGCTCTATCCATCCAGAGGGACACTTAATCGGTAAGCGGAGGGAAAGGGTTCATCAGTGTATCCTTAACACTAGTCGCCCCTACATAAATCCTCTTCCTGGAAAACATCTTTCCCACCAACCGCAGCTCTTTCGATCAAGAATCATCTGGTTTCCAAACCAATAACAAGGGAAAAAAGCCATCTTCATCCTCTATAAGACGAACCTAACTGAGCAATGTTTCAATTTCACCACCTGCCATCCCCAAATCACTAATGGAATTACCAAACCTCACCCCTCTATTTCGCCACAACCCACCTAAAACTGTTCCATGCTATTGTAACACTACAAGTCATAGATCTGAACCCAGATCTAAAAGGACTCCCCAGATCTGAACAAAAGGAGTCAAAACTGCAAGGGAAAACACAAAGACGCAAGGGAAGGGCAAGCGCAAGGAGAAAAGCAAGCAATAAAGAAGAAAAAAGGGCTATATCGGAGAGAAATCTCGAGGGAGAAACCTGCTGCCTCCAAAACCCTAGGGATTTCAGAGCACAGGAAACTATTTCTCTAATAATTATGATAATATATTATAGTAATACATGAAATTCAAAACTACTAGTATACCAAGCGGAACCTTTGATTTTCTGGTTGCTTTGTATCCATTTTGAGTTGAGTTCTTTTTTCTTTTCTTTTTTTTTTGAAGAAAAAGGTAGGCTAGATATTCTACAATTATGACTTTTATCTCTTCCCCCCCCCAAAAAAAAGGGTCCTATAATGATTTGATGCCTTTTAACTTGATAAAGGAATACGTTGATCTGCTTTGGCAATTAGCGAATCGGATGCATTTTTCTGTTTTTGTTTATCTCCAACTGTGATTGATTTACATTCTATTTTCCACAATCATTATACATTTATTTATACCCAATGCTAGTATTTAATAACCATTCTACTTCTTGTATTTTAGATTAATTAACCAATTGTAATGAAAGGAAGGAAAAGTTACATAGAAGACATATTAATAGTTAAAAACTTGAATCTTTATATTAAACGTTTTATATTTGAATCATAAGATAAGTAAAGAGAGGTTTAAAAAGGAGAGAGTTATTTACTATTATATAACCCATTATCTAACCAACGAGGGAGTT